TCCTCTCTCACTGTCTCTTAAAAAAATAAAATAAATAAAGGTATTGTGTCCAACTACAACAAAAAAAAAGACAAAAGAAATTGTTAATAATTTTTTGATATAATAATGGTTTAATGCTTATGCTAAAAAAAGTAAAGAAAAGTCTTGGTCAGTTGGTTAGCTATTATAGTATTTAGAGATAAAATTGCAAGTTATTGCAGGTTTATTTTAAATATTCTAGTCAAAATTTAAATTTGAAAGTCAAGATGAATGATGAAACCAGCATAGCAGGGTGTTGTTAGTTTCTGGGTCCATGAGGCCATTAAACATTTCTCTTTGTTTTTGTGCACGTTTGAACACTTCTTTAATAAGAAAGAAATTAACTCCCTGTTTTGTAGGTAGTTTTGTTTCAAATTTTACCATTAGTATTAAATTGTGGGGCTTCAGGGGTCTCTTCAAATCACTTAAAATACTGTACAAAGTATATTGTTAGAAATACCAAGCTGCTGCCCAAAATCAAACACATGCTTGGAAGTGGATGAACAAAGCAAACTTTACTTCTGCCAGAAGGGTGTGCTGCTGTCCCTAGGTAGTAAGTGCACTTGGGTGGACAGTCCACCTGCTCCTATCCCTGATGGGAGAAACCTGGGATTACAATCTGTGTGATTAACTAATTTTAAATTTGGGGCAGGCAAAGGGAAGAGCTATAATTAAAATGGCTACCATTGAATCTTCATCCCAATTAAGGCTAAATACTATATTCTGAAAACAGACCACTAAACTTTCTATTTCTCACAGTATTGGTCATCTGTGCACACTTTTTCTTTCTGGGAGAGCTGTGACTTTCACTGGATTCTTGAAAGATCTGCAATGTTCAAGGCTTATGAATTAGCACTTTGCACAAACCTCATTCAGCAGGAGGCAGCCTCCAGCCTGACTCAGGCAGGGAAGGAGCCTGTTCACTTTCTGAAATGAGCTAAAACTCTAGCAAGGAACCCTCCGGAGTCTTGTCTTATCTTAGAGAAGACTGGGAAGTCAACTATGTGGTCAGATCTTGTGCCTGTGTTCCTTTGCCCCATATGCCTGGGCTAAATGGTTTTGCAATGAGGAGCTAGAATAGCGGTATTCTTCTCACAATTGGTTTGCTATACAGGAGCAGCACTCATTCTTTCATTTGCAAAGGAATATTAAGGACAGTGCCTTAGGGGCTGGTGCTTCAGCAAAGAATAAAAGAGATAAAAATTCTTGGCCTTATGGAGTTGACGTCCTGATGCTATCCCAAGTCTTTATTTTGCAATACAGCTTACTGCCTCATCTTTCTGTATTATAGTAGAGAGAGAGTTGATTGCTGCCTATCCTAAATTGGAATTTGAGCATTGCTGGTGAATTCAGGTGGACATACATGGGGAATAAGCAATTGACTCTAAGACAAGAGAGAGCCAAACACGGTGAATTTTGGCCCAGAAATAATTGTTCATTGGAAGAAAGCTCTAGTTCCAATTTCTGTTCATTTTTCAGTGATGTAGAGAAAGCAGTGGAAGAAAAAACAGAAAGAAAACTTTGTGTAAGACTCTGAATTGTTGGTTCATGAGCAACACTACTTTGGAAAAACTCTAACCATGGGTTAGACAAAAGTCCTTTCCAGTTGCTTTCACTTTCCAGAATATTGTACGACATTTCATCTTTAGGCCTTCCCATGTCAAGGAACCAAAAGAAAGAGAGGTAGTTGGTGGGAGGGAGATATTAATATTGATGGATCCCTCATCAGAAATTTTGGGTCTAGAGAGAGGACATGGAGCTGTAGGGTGTTGGCCATTGGAATAGGATTTGCTCATGAGTGCATGAATCACCTTCAAGAGACACACAGGGCAGAGGAGGTTTTGCATGATGAGTGTGGGAATGATTTAGGGTAATATGTGTCTTGTGGTAGAAGCCTGTCTGCATAGTGACACTAATTCTGAGCTTTCATCTACATTTTCCCTTGTTATATTACATTTTTTTCTTTCATGTAATTGAGCATGGAAATCCATTTTTTTCTGATAAGCTAGTGAGGACTATAATATCTTTGCTTACACTACAAGATAGAAACATGTAGAAAATTACATTTAAATTAATAATGTTTTCTCCTCCATATTTTGCCCAAATAATAAATCAGCATCTGGGGAGGAAACTGCCCATCCAGAATTTGTATAAATAGAAGGTAAAGTAACTCAGTGCCAGCATAATGGAAGGTACCAATGATTATCACTGTGCCAAGAATTTTGTACCTTTAGACTTTCCATTCAGTCTTTCAGGTCTTGAATTACTTTTTTATTTTGGCCACCTATTTCAAAGAGAAAATATGTAGGAAGTCTGCTATCTTATGCAATTATCAGTAAAACCTCTTATATGAGACTATGACTGAGAACCAAGCCTTGAGGGCATAACACACAATCTAGGCTGGCAGTGCCAGAAACCAGTGAGGAGACCCTGGAAGGTGATAGGGAGAGTGCTGAGACACACTCTTTTTGTTTCCAGCCACAAAGAAGAATGGTCTGGTCAGCTTTGCAGATAATATGGCATCTTTCCTTTATTTTCAACTGTCACAAAATCTAAATCAATCATTTAGTCTCTAAAGGGAAATATGAGAAAATCCTCAGGGACAAAAGTCCCCTCAGTGGGACTTAAAATTACATAAGAGAAAATGCAGTGCTGTGGAATTTGGAGCTGAAAGAGATCTTTGAGTCTTGATTACAAAACAAGATAAACTAACTGATGGACAAAGAGATTAAGTGACCTGTCTGCACTCTACCATGGGTTAATGAAAGAGGCCTTCGAATCATGCTAGATATTGCTGAGCTATAGAGCGTTTCCTCCTTGCTGTCTAGCACACAGGAGGCTTTATGTGGAAATCTATAAGCTGGGCTTCCTGCAAAATAGTACTCCTCTGCTGTGGACAAGTGCCCGTCAACCATACTATTCAAAAAGGAAAAGAAAACCTAACATTATAACGGCTGAGCATGGCATCGAAGCATGAGAGAGACAGTGGCATTTACTCTAGGAAGCAAAAATATCAAGAGTGAGCTCATTAGTCTTGACACCTCAGTAGGTTATTAAAGGAAATAAACAATCACACATTTATTTGAATAATACTACTGAGTGCCAATAAAAATGCAAGATGCAAACTGCACAACCTTTTGAGGCCCCAGAGATGAACAGTGTAAAATTCTAGCTCTCTAACAGTGTTCAGTCTTCACAGATGCTGAAAAGGTTTTTTATAAATTGAATATCCATTTTGGATTTAAAATGATACCTCATCAACCAACAATGGAGGAACAAATATACTATTTGATTAATAGTGGTTGTCATTTAGGACTACGAGTGAATTTTAAAGCTCTATTATGGGTTTTACTGTATTTTCCAGTACTTTATAAATTCTTTGTGTTGAAAATGTATTGTTTTATGTTAAGAAACTTAAACTTGATTTTGGAATTCTTTAAGTCTTTAAAGGAAGACTATATTACTTTTTTAATGGATCCTTTTGTACCTTATTCCCTTTATTCCCACATCATTACATTTTATATTCAGCATGAGTTATAATTTCCACAATAGGAATGACCATTGGTCTCTAATGTAACCATGTTGGCAGCAATAAAGAATTGGCTTTCTATATACATAAAAGCCTTGAATGTTTCTTTATTTGGGCTTTAAGTGTTGTGAGGAAGTGAATTCAAAAATTTAATTCAATTATTTTCATTTTGCTTTACCATTAAAGAGATTTTATGTTAGCTCCAATTAAGATCACTTTTAAAATTCAACATGTATTTTGGACTTTTAGGAAAAATGCCTTTGGACAAAAGAACTTAAAGGAAAAATATAAAAGAGCCACAACCATTAATAATAATATCTAATATTTAGATGTTAAATACCTTGTAGTATTCTATGCATTTTTATTTGCATCAACTCATTTAATTTCCACCTTATGCACCATTATCCCATATTACAGATGAAGAAACTGAAGCAAATAATTGTTAAAGCCATACAGCTACCAAGAGTTTGGCACTCATGGTACTCATGATTCATACCTAGACAGTGTTGTTCCAGAACCCACTAAACTATTCTCACTGCATCTCAATAATTGAAAAATCGACAAAGAAGTATCAGTTTGGATGTAATCTCAAGATAGAAACCACACAGTGATTTAAATAAGAAAAGTAGGATATAAATGATTATTAAACTATGACAAAGCATTAACTATTATATACACAATAGTATACATACACAAATATTATGTTGGCTAATGAAATCTATTTGCTCTGATAAGCTGGTAAGATCTGGAGAACCTTAGATTATACTATGTAGCAGCAAAGTGTAGAAAATTCCATTATGTTAATCATATTTTCCCAGGCATTAAGTTTATATATATATATATATATATATATATCTTATGTATAATACATATTGTAATATTTAATATTTTATATACTATTACTCTTTTAGCCCTAGAGTTTATATACATATATGTATACATATATAGTAATACTATAGAAATTCTAGGAGATAAAGTATACATTACATTCTCCACCTCCCCACTTTTTTTTGGTACTGGGGATTGAACTCAGAGGCACTCAGCCACCAAGCCACATCCGCAGCCCTATTTTGTATTTTATTTAGAGAAAGGGTCTCACTGAGTTGCTTAGCATGCGCTTTTGCTGAGGCTGGCTTTGAACTCGTGATCCTCCTGCTTCAGCCTCCCAAGCCACTGGATTACAGCATACACCACAGCACCCAGCAAGGTGCCTCGTTAACACAGATCACAATGAGTGAAACATCATACAGATACAAATGTAATACCTTAATTGGTTTAACAAAATTTTAGATATAGATGTCTATATTATATAATATACACATTACCCTAGGCTGAGGGAGAATACACAAGAAAGAATAAATTTGGGATTGGGACCCCCTCTAAGGTTGGGGTTTAGACTTCATTGTAAGAGGCATATAGTATAGCACCCTTCCATGGATGGCAGAGAAATTGTACTGTGTGCCTGCCTATAGTTGGTGTGTGGTTGCTAGGCAAACAGGAAGCAATCCTCTGAAACATATGTGGGAGTGTGACTAGTTGCTGGGCACACTGGCATGCGAAGGGGATAAGGATGCTGGTTAACAAAAGGCTCTGAAGCATGTGGAATCCATGTTGGGAGGGCAATGAGCAGGTTGTCACCAAGCAGGCCAGGGTCCTCAGAGTGTGGGCAGACTGTGATAGGGGCACCTGGTTGGAGCACAGCATCGCTGGATGCCTTCACTTCCCTGAGTTGACCTCACACAGCAGACATAAAGAGCATCGGAGAGCCCCTTCTTCTTGCTGTGTTCTTCTAGCATTCTTTACCAAGAAAGTTTAACATCCTGCCAACCGTAAGGGAGAAATAAAGCATTATCTGTTATCATGGAACATGTTTGGAGCTGAGGGGCAATACATTGACAAGTGGCACAGAAGGAATCTAATCTGGTCACACTGCTTGATAATGTGACTAATCGTATTTTCTTAAGGACTTTTCACCTGGCAAGTAACCCTGACCTTGTGCTGGCAGTGTCTATGACCAAGGCTAGAAATGAAGCCTGTGGCTATCCAGTTATTGTTCAGGTAAGATATGTATAGACTAACAAGTAATCATGGCCCTTTAATTAAATTGAAATAAATGTCTCCTTTTTGTGGAGCTAAAGAATGGCTGTCATAGAATGCTACCTTGAATGTCATTGTTAAAATATTTATAATAGTCTGCCTAGATTTCAAATTGAGCATGTTCATGTATCTCTTAATTTAGTTTAATCCAACAGATGGTGATTGTGAGCTTGCCGCATGTCAGGAACTGTGCTAGTTACTGAAATCAAATCCAAAGGCAAGCATGAGAAATGGTCTCAACAAAATTCACAGAATTTACTGTTAAGTAAACACGGCAGTCAAGTGGTGGATGCAGTCAAGTGAATGGCTATTAGACGCACCCAAGGACATATGCAAGGCCCCCTTTCTTGGTAACTGGAGAAAGATAACCTGTACAGGGAGGTCTTTTGGGGACCTGAGCTCATAGTGGTAGTCTACCAAGCAATCCATTTGCATTATACTTTTAATACAGTTTTGCAAATGCTTACAGCAGCCAAACAATTTTTGGAGACTCCAGAGAAGTCTGGCTTCATTTGAATTTTGGACAAAGATCTAGGAAGTGCTTTTTGCACGTTTTCCTATCATTGCCACTTATAACCAAAAACATTTGTAAATGGATCTGTGTTTTCCATGCTAGGAGGAGAGAGAGTTTAGGAGTATTCCTGCTCTGCATTTGCTTTCTGTCATCTCCACAGTATTTTCCATCTTTTTGTTGGGCAGAATGTATTGTCTCCAAATAACATTTTATTCCATGTGTTTAAAAGCAGTGAAGCAACTTGTTTTGCAGGCCCTGAATCCAAAACTGGGACAGCAATCTGGACAAATACCAAAACTTAATTAAATCTTCTGTCCTGATGTTAAATAAAGACTAAAAATTTAGAGACAGTATACATCACTTTACATTATTTTATGTCAGATACCTATTTAGTACATATCAAAGATAAAATCTCATGCAGGTGCAAACTGAGTGCCTTCCTTAGTTTCATAAAATTGTAGGTATGGATGTCTTCCACTGAGGTTCTCATTTTATATGAAAAAAACTTAATCCCAAGATAATTTGAGTCACCTTTCAAAACTTTTTTGTTTGTTAACATTTCATTTTTATTTATTGAAGCAATCAGTTTATGAAAAAATATTCAAGTTTATATAAAGTAATAAAAATTAGGCATGTTAGATTAATGCTACTAGATCTTTTCTTGTTCCTTGAAAATATAGCCTTTGGTTTTCCACATCTCTGGGAGAGGCTTTGTTTTCTGACCCATAAAATCAGTTCTTAAGTCTCGTTTATTTTCTTCTTTACTGTTAACCTGTTACTTGGTAATATAAGTGTTACAAATTATATAATTCCTTGAGGTGTCATGATATGATTAGTTATTAGCATTAATCCACTTTTAAAAATTCTGTTAAATTGAAACATGTTTTACTTATACTTGAGCCAACTTTTATAATTAAAGTAAATATCTTGTTTCTATTATTATTTAACTTTACTTAGAAAAAGTCTCCTTTAATATCAATGAAATTTAAACTAAAATATCAAGTACTATTTTTTCATAAGGTACTATTTTTTCATTTGTTAAGCTCATATTTAGGGAAGATATTGCCCTTTTGGGACAAGAATATAAGAAAAGTGGGTTATTTCATATACATATACAACCATTAGAAATATAAAGTAAAATGTTCTCTCCAGAAAGAATTTCGATGTGATAGATCATAATCTTGAAAAATGATCAGAGTTTGGACTTGGGATGCAACTCAGTGGTACAGTACTTACCTAGCATGTGTGAGACGTGCATTCAATCCCTAATACTGCAAAAAATAGAATCTTCTTTTATCAGCAACTCTTCCAGAAATTTGTACTAAAGAAATTATCATAGGGGCTTGGGCTAGAGCTCCGTGGTAGAGTGCTTGCCTAGCATGCATGAGGCACTGGGTTCAATTCTCAGCACCATATAAAATAAATAAATAAATAAACAATTTATTAAAATAAAGGCATTCTGTCCATCAATAACTACAAAAATATTTTTTAAAAAGAAATTATCATAGATTTATACAAAGATTTATTTACAGTACTGTTTGTTGTTTTCTGTGTATTGCAGGGAAATTTTAAGAAACAATATACATGTTTTAATTATTGGAGATTAGCAAAATAAAATATTCCTGAAATTAAATGATAATATCTTTTTTAAATGTTAAAAAAAAGGTTCATGGAATATTGTTAATTGAAAAAAAATGCAATTCAAATTGTATGTATTGTGTGATTCTATTTTTGTAAATCAAAGAATGCATATTTATAAGTATAAAATCTATGCATATAATTGCCAAAAATCAACTATATTTATCACTGCATAATGTATTTGTGAATAATTATCTGTACTTTTTGAATTTATGCAATGAAATATGACTGCTATAGCTATCTCATAAACTCACCTGTCTATTTGACACAATATTTTCTCTCTTTTTTTCTCCAGAAATATAAGCCATACAACAATGGAACTGCCCATCAAAAGTGGCAGTACTTGGAAAATTTGAAAACATTTATGGCCTTTTATAGCACTACTTTGGATAAGGAAATCACATTGGCAAATTTTGCTGGTATTTGTACATCTTCTGTCATTAAAGGAGAAAACATTGATCAACCAGTAAGTGATTCTTTCTTCCCAAAAGAAAAAAAAAAGATGGTAAAATAAGATAATTTAATAAAGTGATTTTTTCCCTTAGAAAAGCTATGTTCATAAAATTTGATCACTAGTTTCCCACAGGACTGAGAATTGAACCCAGGGCCTCATGTTCTAGGCAAGTGTTCTACCCCTGAGCTACATCACCAGTTCTGGTCTTGGTTTGAGACAATTTCTGATTTTGCCTTGAACCCAGAGCTTATATATGCGAGGCAAGCACTTTAATTCTGAGCTACCTCTCCAGCCCCTCGAACACTGACTTTTCTTAAAAAAAAAATGGTTCTTTTTAGTTATTCATGATATCAGAATCCATTTTGATATAATTCTACAAGCATGGAATATATCTTATCCATTTAGCATCCCATTCTTTTTTATTAATTAATTTATTCATTTAAATTAGGTATATATGACAGCAGAATGCATTTTGATTCATTGTATACAATTTCAGCACAACTTTTCATTTCTCTGGTTGTACACAATATAGTGTCACACCATATGTGCAGTCAGACATGTACCTAGAGTAATGATGTCCATCTCATTCTACCATCTTTCCGGCTCCCATGCCCCTTCCTCACCCCTCCCTCCTCTTGGCCCAATCAAAGTTCCTCCATTTTCCCCAATGTCCCCCTCACCCCATTGTGGATCAGCATCCATTATCAGAGAGAACATCAGGCCTTTGGTTTTTTAGTATTGGCTTACTTCGCTTGACATGATATTCTCCAACTCCATCCATTTACTTGCAAAATGGCATAATTTTATTCTCTTTTAATGCTGAGTAATATTCCATTGTGTATATATACCACAGTTTCTTTATCCATACATCTATTGAAGGGCATCTAGGTTGCTTCCACAATTTAGCTATTGTGAATTGAGCTGCTATAAACATTGATGTAGCTGTGTTACTATAATGTGCTGACTTTAAGTCCTTTAGGTATAGACTGAAGAGAGGGATAGTTGGGTCAAATGGTGGTTCCATTCCAAGTTTCCTAAGGAATCTCCATACTTCTTTCCAGATTGGTTGCACCAATTTACAGTCTCACCAGCAATATATGAGTGTGTCTTTTTTTCCATATCCTCGTCAACATTTATTGTTGTCTGTATTCTTGGTAACTCCCATTCTGACTGGCATGAGATGAAATCTTAGTTTTGATTTGCATTTCTGTAATTAATTGAGATGTTTAACATTTATTTATATATTTGTTGATTGAATGTATATCTTCTGAGAAGTTCCGAGAAGTGTCTTTTTAGCTCTTTAGCTCATTTATTAATTGGGTTTTTTTTTTTTTTGGTGTTAAGGTTTTTGAGTTCTGTATATATCCTGGAGATTATTGCTGTATCTGACATGTGTGTGACAAAAATTTGCTCCCCAAATGTAGACTCTCTCTTCACCTCATTGATTGTTTCTTTTACTGAGAAGAAGCTTTTTAGTTTATCCCATCCCATTTATTAATTATTGATTTTATTTCTTGTGTTTTAGGAGTCTTCTTAAGGAAGTCAGGGCGTAATCCAACATAATGAAGATTTGAGCCTAATTTTTCCTCTATTAGGTGCAGGGTCTCTGGTCTAATTCCTAGGTCTTCGATCCACTTTGAATTGAATTTTGCACATAGTTAGAGATAGGGGTTTATTTTCATTTTGTTGAGTATAGATTTTCAGTTCTCTCAGCACCTTTTGTTGAAGAGACTATCTTTTCTCCAATGTATGGTTTTGGTACCTTTGTCTAGTATGAGATAACTTCTCAAAAAAATTCTGGCAAATCGCGTACAAAATCATATTTAAAAAAATAGTGCACCATAATCAAGTGAAGTTTATTCCAGGGATACAAGGTTGGTTCAATATATGAAAATCAATAAATATAATTCATCACATCAGTAGACTTAAAGAATTATATGATTATATCGATTGATGCAGAGAAAGAATTTGATAAAATATAGCATCCTTTCATGTTTGTAACACTGAAAAACTGGAGATAGTAGGAACATACCTCAACATTGTAAAAGCTATCTACTCTAGACCCAAAGCCAACATCATTCTAAATGGAAAAAAATTGGAAACTTTCCCTCTAAAAACTGGGACAAGACAGGGATGCCCTCTTTCACCACTTCTATTCAACATAGTCCTGGAAACACTAGCCAGAGCAATTAAACAGATAAAAGAAATTAAAAAGATACAAATAGGAAAAGAATTCAAACTATCATTATTTGCTGATGACATGATTCTGTACTTAGAGAATCAAAAAAAAAACTTCAACTGAAAACTAGAATTAATTGATGAATTCAGCAAAGTAGCAGGATATAAAATCAATACCCATAAATCAAATATATTTCTACACATTAATGACAAATCCTCTGAAAGAGAAATTAGGAAAACTACCCCATTCACAATAGCCTCCAAAAAAAATTGAGAATCAACTTAACAAAAGAGGTGAAAGACCTCTATGATGAAAACTACAGAACACTAAAGAAAGACATTGAAGAAGATTTTAGAAGATGGAAAGATCTCTCATGTTCTTGGAAAGGCAAAATTAATATTGTCAAAATAGCCATACCACCCAAAGCACTATACAAATACAAATTCAATGTGATTCCTATTAAAATCCCATCATCATTCCTTATAGAAATAGAAAAAACAAGCATGAAATTCATTTGGAGAAACAAGATACCCATAATAGCCAAAACAATCCTTAGCAAGAAGAGTGAAGCAGAAGGCATCACAATACCAGACCTTAAACTATAGCACAAAGTATAGTAACAAAAATGGTATGGTATTGACACCAAAATAGACATGTAGACCAATGGTAGAGTTTCATTCTTATGGTTGTACATGGTGGTGGGATTTTCTGTGTTTTTTTAATATATGTACATGGGAAACTTCATATATGTACATGCCAGATTCATTCCACTGTCTCTCCTTTACTTATCCCTGCTCCTTTCCTTCCATTCCCATTGTCTAATCTATGGCATGTCTACTCTTCCCCTCACCACCTGCTTTATTGTGAATTAGCTTCCAAATATCAGAGATAACATTCTACCTTTGATTTTTGCTTACTTCACTTAGCATGATAGTCTTCAGATCCATCCATTTGCTGGCAAATGTTATAAAGTGATTCTTCTTTATGGCTGAGTAATACTCCATTGTGTATATATACCACATGTTCTTTATCCATTCATCTATTGAAGGACACCTAGGCTGCTTTCATAACTTAGCTATTGTGAATTGAGCTTCAATAAACATTGATGTGGCTGTGTCACTGAAGTATGCTGATTTTAACTCCTTAAAAATGCAAATTACTAAAATCCATGATGAAAATGGAAATATCATCACAGACACTACTGCAATACAGAAGATAATCAGAAGCTGTTTTGAAAATCTGTACTCAAATAAGTTAGAAAATACTGAAAACATTGATAAATTCCTAAAAACATAACACTTACTCACTCTGAACCAGGAGGATATAGAAAATGTAAATAAATCAATTTCAAATAACAAGATTGAAGAAGTAATCAAGAACTTACCAGCAAAGAAAAGTTAAGAACTAGATGGATTCTCAGCCAAGTTCTACCAAACCTTTAAATAAATACCAACCCTCCTCCAATTATTCCATAAAATAGAAAAGGAGAGAACCCTTCCAAACTCATTCAATGAAGTCAATATCACCCTTATGCCAAAAGCAGACAAAGACACGACAAGGAAAGAAAACTTCAAACCAATATCCCTGATGAACATAGATACAAAAATTCTTAATAAAATGCTGGCAAAACACACTGAAAAGATTCTGCACTATAATCAAGTGGGTTTCATTCCAGGCATGCACGGTTGGTTCAACATACAGAAATCACTAAATGTACGCACCACATCAATAGACTTAAAGACAAGAATCACATGATCATCTCAATGGATATAGAAAAAGCATTTGACAAAATACAGCATCCATTCATAATTAACACTAGGAAAAAATAGGAATAAAATGACCATACCTTAACTTTGTAAAAGCTGTATGACAAACCCAAGGCCAACATTGTTCTAAATAGAGAAAAACTAAAAGCATTCCTCTAAAAACAGAAACAAGACAGGGATACCCACTTTTACCACTTTTATTCTCAATAGTCCTCAAGTCTCTAGCCAGAGCAATTAGGCAAAAGAACATTTAACTTTTGATTGAAATAACTTAAACTCTGTGATTCCAGTTAGGAAATATTTCAGGAAAATTATGAAGAACAGATCTGTTGGTCTTTCCCAGGTCACTAGTATGGCTCTAGTCATCTGGTGCTCCTTCAGTAGTTTGGTGGCTCTGTGAGGAGTGAATGATCACAGATGGCCTCCCTTACATGTCTGGTGGATGGTAGGCTCTTAGCTAGGGGCATTGATTCTTCAATCTCTGGATTTCTTGGAAAGGCTAGCTCAAGTTTGCTCACATTGTAGTCTTAGGGTTCCTACTGTAACCCAAAAAGAATAAGCACTAATGTGCAAGTACTACTTATACATCTGCTTGTCTTGCATTTGCTAGTGCTACAATGGGTGAAGCCAGTAGTACGCCCTTTCCCTTCTTCAAGGAAAAGAAATAAGGATAAAGAAACACTTCCTCTCTGTTGAAGGAACAGTGAAGTCATACATCAAATGACCATGAACACAAGTTTGGAATGGTTTTATTGTGGCTGTCTTTGGAAATAATCTGCCATACTCTTTCATGGCCGGTTTTCAGAGTTATAAATAGGTGCAAGCTTATTGCCAATGTTGTCCAATAGGTTGTAGATTTGTTTTTATTTGTTTGGGTTTTTTTGTTTGTTTTACTTCTATTAATACAATCATTGTGAACTCATTGAATTTTTCATATTCAAACATATGCAAAATGTTGCCATTATTGTTCTTTATGTTATCCCCAAATTATTGTTTTTTGAGCAGAAGGGGCTTCCTCATATTGACTTCCATGTCTTTTTGACACAATTTGTTTACTCTGGGAGAACTTTTTTCTTTCCCTTGCTTACATTGTATATTTTCTGACTCAAACTTGGAACTGACCATTTTTCATGAAATCTTGATTCTGGGCACAGGTTGTGTTCATTGGTGCTGAATTGTCATTACAAATTTGGAAATTATTTTCTTGAGAATGTAATTTTTAGGGAGGGAAATAATGCATTAATGTTGTGATTTCAAATTTAGCATTTGGTGATGATAAAGGTGCTCTATTTATATTCTAAAGAGTTCTATGGAATGCTATCATAATTCAGATGTACCTATATAAAAATGCCTTTATTTCCTGTTTAAGGGATACTATTATCTCTCAGCTGGTGGAAAGAGGAAAATGATGCTCTGCCTGGCTTGTGGACAATGCATGAGACCAGAGAAGAGACTGAAACAGTTGCTTCCAGGGGTTCCATTCCTCTGTGTTTCAGGCTCCAAGACCCAGAAGCCCCTATCACAAGGGCCTTTCAAGGTCATCAGTGTGGTCAAGGTGTGTAATGATCTGAATTCTGCTAATGTACATGTGTCAACAGTTTGGAAACTTTGATGTATTTATTATCTGCCTTGCATTCAAGTTTATTTCCACTCATCCAATTCATCCTCCTCAGATGCATCTCCACTCATCCAATTCATTCTCCCTTAACACATCCTGCTTGCATTGATTTCCTTTTCCCCACTGTAATTTAAAATACATTGTCTATTAATAGTTCCATTCACCCTGTGAAGTTAATTGGGCACTTCTGCAGCTTTAATTTGCTGACACTTTCCCCTGTTCTCTGTGTCATTTTTAGTTGAGGAAATAACTGCAGATCTTTACTTAGTGGAACAGCTTTTTTACCTGTATCCACAGGGTAAACTTCTTTGATGAGCATGGAGCATTTCAGGGGGAATTTGACATGTTGTTGTTAACTATTCAGGTTGGGTGCCTGAATTCACACATCCATGTCTAATGCTATTTAGAGTTCTTGGAGATGAAAAACTGAAAACAAAAACCAAACAAACAAAAATCCTCTGCTACTTTTGTGTGGCCTTAATTTGAAATGGTACTATTTAAGAGATCCTCCCTTCAAGTTTAGAAGTGAAAAAAGCTGAGGGAACTTGCATACCTGAATATAAAGGAGCAAGTCCCAAAAGATGGGCACCCTCCAGCCTGTCCTCTCAAGGCTGACCTGCCCCATCTCCAGATCTCGCTCATCTCCTAATTCCCAGCCACATTGTGCCACCTGTAAGCATCCACTGAAACAATATCTAAAGGAGAAAGGAATCAGTCCTCTGAGAAGCCAGAGGGCATTTGGTTTGAAGGAGCTGATTACCAAGATCCTCAGAGTTATAGCATCTCAGACAGCTTTTCCCTCAGGGCAGCATCCTAGTTAGGGATGAAGTGGCTCTCACCCCTTCATTACCGTGTGCTCGACACTGTTCCCATTCCCCTCCTTTCATCAGCATCTTCCACCATAGGATGGCATCATTCCAAAGTCAAAAATTGAGGGAATGTCAGTGGTGGTATTGTGTCCTCTTACTTTGATCCCAGGCTGTCCTTGGCCCTGCTGCCATCTCCTGTCACAGGTGAAAGCAAAAGAAACAAAAAATGTGACATTGACCTCAAATAAAATAAATAGAGAATGCCCCAAACAGACCAGATGCTCAGAAGTCACCTAGTAACTTGGTGTCAGGGACGGAAAAAGAACTTAAGATTTCCAGTGTCCTTCCCATTATAGCATCTGGTATCTATAGTACATGAAGTGACCATTGCAAAATTTAAATATCACACACACACTCACACAAACACACACACACACACACACACACACACTCATTGAACTGAGACTGAATGATGCCCAAATAAAAAACTAAAACTTAAAGGTTTGTATAAATGTATAAATATACAATTTTTTTTAAATGAATCAGGCTGACTTATCATCTTACGAGGCTGACAAAACTCTAAGTTATTATGAAGAACTCCTATTATCTTTACGGACGAAGACCTGCATGCAAGCTGTGTGTCACAGTGGTATAGCAGCCACACACCAGAAGGCAGTGAAAATAATCGCGTACAAAAACGGGGATGGATATCGTAATGGGAAGTTAATTGTGGCTGGAACATTCCCCATGGTAGGTGACTTAATGCTGCTTACTTAAATGCTGCTTATATCCTCAGAGGTAATGATAATGGTGATTCTCCTGATAACAAAAAAAAATATGAGATTGAGTGATAAATGTCCCTGGCCAGGTTTACCAATTTAAGCTGATGAGATTGAGATCCCTGTTTCCTTAAAGGCATTATTTTTTATTGTATTTCTTTGGATAGACTTAGAAAATTTTTTTAAAAATCAGAATGTGTTTTTTTAGATTGGCTCCAAAGCAAAGATATAAAAGGAGAAAAAGTAAAACTACCCAATTTTCTTCATTCTTATCAAGAACGATGTCATTTTCTTCCCTCCTTCCCAAGCCAACTTCCGATTTTATGTCATCTGAGTGATCTAAGAGATGCCACCTTGTTTATCATGTGGAGCACTAGAGTGCTTATTTGTTGATAGGATGCTTCATTTTCAAATTGGAGAAGAAGGGATTGTGTTAAGAGGAACTGTGTGGTCTGTCTTAGAACACATAGACACAGGATTGAAGGAGAGTCCAGAAGGCCCAAACCCAGATTTGTCTTTCCAGGTTTGATGATCATCCTGTCTGTGCATTAAGATTAATACTTCAGTAACATATTTTACAGGTGATGTTAAATATGAGATGAAGTTCTCATTGGAACTTCTTTACAAACAGTACTTATTTATCCACTCACCTCTTTGGTTGAAAAATAAATGGATTTTTAATTAAAATATTGTTGTTCAGCAAACTAAACAAAGTACAGAAATTAGTGACTTGAAGATTCACTCAGGGATCCATACTGTCTTTTATGGTCTTGGGAAAAAATATTAGCCTTTTCATTCTGTTTTCTCATCTACCAAATGGTGGTAATAATACATGTCATATCTTGGTTTAAAAGTTAACTACTCATTTATTTTTGAGCAGTTCATCAATATGAAATATTACAATAATTTTATACCTTATCAAGCAACAAAATTGAAAGTAGATTTCTCGATTGGACATTCCTTGGAAAGTACTCTGAGGCTAAAATGTATTAACATACATCAGTTGCTATGTTACATTTTTAGAGCTAGGAATTTTCACAGTGGGATTAGACTAATATAAAATGGTATAGAACAATCTAATATTAGAAATCATTACTAATCAAAAATCAAGATCTGGGAAGGTGATGTAGCTCAGGAGTAAAATGGTTGCTTAGCATGTATGAGTCCTTGTTTTAATCCCTACTACTGCTATTACACACACACACACACACACACACACACACACACACACACAGTCAAGATTAGTAGTTACTCAGATCTGTATTTTCTCAAGTTAAAAGATTTTCTCAGGGGCTGGGGATGTGGCTCAAGTGGTAGCGCGCCCGTCTAGCATGCGCGAGGCCTGGGTTCGATCCCCAGCACCACATACAAACAAAGATGTTGTGTCTGCCGAAAACTAAGAAATAAAATATTAAAAAGTTCTCACTCTCTCTTAAAAAAAAAAAAGATTTTCTCAGATTTCTGAAAGGTGAGCTCTTCTTTATTATTCCCAATTCTATCACTAGTTCATGTCAGTCCTTCACAGACTGTGTTGTTTAGCTTCTTACAGAATGCACAGGACAGCTTGGGCTTTCCAGAGCAGCTTCCAAAGTATACACCAGAGATGGAACCACAGTTTTTACCTTGCGTGATTTGGTTTTATGGGCTCTAAATGAATCCTTTATGCAGAGAGACTCTGAAGAACAAAAGACAGGCTCCACTCCTGTTGGAACAGAAGAGATGACTGCTAAAAGTATGTGGACAATGCTTCTGCTTATGTTCAATCATGAAAAAGTTAAATGAGATTCTTTCAATCACCTCTTCTAGAGTTTTAAAATCACAACCAGCTACTATTGTAACTGATTTAAGAGTCTCAATGAGATTCTCCAAGGCATAACTTGGGTTATCAACTTGGTTTTTGGAGCCAGAATACTAAGGTTCAAGTTCTAGCTCTGTCACTTGTTCAGTGGCTTTTGGGAAAGTTTTTAACCACTATGTACCTCAGTTTTCTCATTTGTAAGAGTGTTTTTAAGGACTGACTTGAAATAAAAACCATATATAGAATTTTCCCTTGAATGTTATCTTAGTTCATTTTATGCTACTATAACTGAGTACTATAGATCCAGTAACTGGTTGATTTATAAAGAATAAGTATTTACTTCTCACAGCTTCTGAAGCTGGAAGTCTAGAATCAAGGCCCTGGCAGGTTTGGTTTTCTGATGAGGGTTGCATTCTCCAGAGGGGAGAAGTGCTATGTTCTCAGGAGGCAGGATAGACGGCAGGAGAGCCAAACACTGTGTGAAGCCTCTTTAGTAAGGACCGTCAACCCATTCACCTTTGAAGGTCCCACTTTCAGAGACCATCACATTGACCATTAAATTTTAATATCGGAATTTTTCTGGAGGGGACACATTCATACCACAGCACTCACATACCCACACCACAGAAATACACAATACACATATTCGCTTGATAAATATATTAATAAAAGTATTAATAAATATATTAATAAAAGTGTACATACTCATATACATACATGTAGATACATATATACGTGTATGTATTTTTTTTCTTAGAACAATGCCTGGTTAATGTTTATCTAGGCATTCAATGAATATTAGTTATTATTATTCTGTATAGAATATTATTTATTTTTGTTGCTGTGGTTGCTGCTGATATGTACTATGTAGTTAGGTTTGCAGCAGTTGTGTTTGTATAGAATATGTATATATTTTTTCTTTTTATTCATACATTTAATTGAATGAGTTTCTTGTATCATTGCCATATGGCATATATTGTGCATTGATGTTTCCACCTTCCCTCTACATCTGTCAACATCCCTCTTCCCCCCTTTACTAGCCTCTAAAAGTCCCTCTCTATTTTCAGGTTACATTTTATTGTTTCCACATAAAAGAGAAAGTTTGTGATATTGTTTGAATAATTTCACTTGACATGATGTCCTCCAGTTCCATCCATTTTCATGCAAATGACAGATTTTATTCTTCTTTATAGATGAATAATAGTTCATTGTGTATATAGCTCATCATTTCTTTATCCATTCATCCATTAGATGTTGAGGAGCACCTAGGCTGATTTCATATTTTGGCTAATGTGAATAGTGCCACAATAAACATGGGTTTGCAGGTGTCTCTTTTGTATACTGACCTTATTTCCCTCAGATTTATACCCAGGAGTGGTGTAGTCTGGTCATATGGTGGTTCTACTTTTAGTTTTTTGAAAAAGAGACCTCCATACTGTTTTTTTTATAATGTCTATACTAATTTACATCCCCCCAAACAGTATATAAGGTTTTTTTTCCCTATATCTTTGCCAGCAATTGTTCTCTTTTTTTTGTAGAAGTAATTTTATTTATTTTATTTTTATTCTTACATCATTGATAAATTTGGAATGCATTTTTTTATTTTTTAATTTGTTCTAATTAGTTATACATGACAGCAGAATGCATTTTGACACTCTGTACACAAATAGAGCACAACTTCTCCTTCCTCTGGCTGAACATGGTGCAGAGTCACACCAGTAGTATAATCATACATGTATATAATGTCCATTCCACCATTCACCCAGTCCCCACACCGCCTCCCCTCCCCTCACTCCCTTTGCACAATCCAAAGTTTCTTCATTCTTCCCCCAACCCCATTATGGATCAACATCTGCTTATCAGAGAAAATAATCAGCCTTTTTTTTTTTTAGGGTTTGGCTTATTTCACTTAACATGATATTCTCCAACTCCATCCATTTACCTGCAAATGCCATGATTTCATTCTTCTTCAAGACTGAGTAATATTCTGTTGTGTATATATACCACAATTTCTTTATCCATTCATCTGTTGAAGGGCATTGAGATCGGTTCCATCATTTAACTATTGTGAATTGAGCTGCTATAAACATTTAGATGGCTACATCACTATAGTATGCTGATTTTAAATATTTTGGGTATAAACTGAGGAGTGAGATAGCTGGGTCAAATAGTGGTTCCATTCTAAGTTTTCTAAGCAATCTCCATACTGCTTTCCATAGTGGTTGCACTAATTTGCAGTGCCACCAGCAATATATTAGTGTACCTTTTCCCCAATTCCTTGTCAACACTTATTATTGCTTGTATTCTTGATAATTGCCATTCTGACTGGAATCAGATGAAATTTTAGAGTAGTTTTGATTTGCATTTCTCTAATTGCTAGAGATGATGAACATTTTCCCATATACTTGTTGATCAATTGTATTTCTTTTTCTGTAAAGTATCTGTTCAGTTCCTTAACCCATCTAACTGATTGGGTATTTGTTTGTTGGTACTGAGTTTTTTAACTTCTTTATATATCCTGGAGATTAGTGCTCTATCTGAGGTGCATGTAGTAAAGATTTCCTCCCATTCTGTGGGCTCTCTCTTCGTGTTATTGATTGTTTCCTTTGCCGAGAAGCTTTTTAGTTTGAATTCATCCTATTTATTGATTCTTTATTTTACTTATTACACTTTAGAGTCCTAGTTAAGGAAGTCAGTTCCTAAGCCGACATGGTAAAGATTTGGTCCTATTTTTTCTTCTGTTAGCCACAGGGTCTCTGTTCTAGTTCCTAAGTCTTTGAACCAATTTGAATTGATTTTTGTGCAGGATGAGAGATAGAGGTTTAATTTTACTTTTCTCCATATGGATTTCCAGTTTTCCAAGCACCATTTGTTGAAGAGGTTATCTTTTCTCCAGTGTATGTTTTTGGAGCCTTTGTCTAATGTGAGATAAATCTACTTATGTGAGTTTGTCTCTGTGTCTTCTATTCTGTACCATTGGTCTATATGTCTACTTTGGTACCAATACCATACTATTTTTGTTATTTATATTTATAAATTTCCATATGTTGAACCAACCTTGTATCCCTAGAATGAACTCCACTTGAACGTGGTGCACTATTTTTAAAATATATTTTGCATGCGATTTGTCAGAATGTTATTGAGAATTTTTGCATTAGGGACATTGGTCTAAAGTTTTCTTCCCTTGATGTGTCTTGGTCTGGTTTTGGTATCAGGGTGTTACTAGCCTCATAGAATGAGTTTGGAAGGGTTCCCTCCTTTTCTATTTCATGCAATAATTTGAGGAATATTGGTGCTAATTCTTTTGTGAAGATTGTGTAGAACTTGGCTGAGAATGCGTCTGGTCCTGGGCTTTTCTTGGTTGGTAGACTTTTGATGGCATCTCCTATTTCATTGCTTAAAATTGATTTAAATTATGCATGTCCTCTTGATTCTGTTTGGATAGTTCATGTGTCTCTAGAAATTTGTTGATGTCTTCAAGATTTTCTGTTATTGGAGTATAAATTTTCAAAATAGTTTCTATTAATCTTCTGCATTTCAGTAGTGTATGTTGTGATATTTACCTTTTTAATCATGAATTTTAATAATTTGAGTTTTGTCTTAATTAGTGTAGCTAAGGGTTTATCAATTTTATTTATTTATTCAAAGAAACAACTTTTAATTTTGTCAAGTTTTTGAATTGTTTCTTTTGTTTAAATTTCATTGATTTCAGCTCTGATTTTAATTATTTCCTGTCTTCTTCTGCTTGTGTTGTTGATTTGTTCTTTTACTAGGGTTTTAAGATAAAATATTTGGTCATTTATTTGTTGACTATTTACTCTTTTATTGAATGAGCTCAATGCAATGAATTTTCCTCTTATCACTGCCTTCATAATGTCCCAGGGATTTTGATATGCTGTATTGGTGTACTCACTTACCTCTAAGTATTTTATTCATTTCCTCCATGATTTCTTCTGCTATCCATTTGTCATTCAATAGCATGTTATTTAATCTCCAGGTTTTGGAGTAGCTTCTATTTTTTATTTTATCATTGATTTTAGTTTCATTCTGTTATAATCTGATGGAATGCAGGGTAGTATTTCTATTATTATTATTATTATTATTATTGTTATTATTATTATTATTATTATTATATTTGCTACGAGTTGCTTTGTGGCATAACATCCCGTCTGTTTTAGAGGAGAATCCATGTGGTGCTGAGAAGAAAGTGTATTTGCTCGATGGCTGGGCTAGCTGATAGCAAGATGTCCCACTTGTTATAGCTGGTCCCTCCTGTCCCCATGCATTTCAGGACTCACTGAGCTGGAGAGAGTCCTGTTTTCTCTAGGGTCTCCAACCTATACTCCCCACCCCCATGCCCTGTCCAGGGAACTGTCTCTGGTCTCCAGCTTTCCAGGGTTTTCAGGCCAAGACTGACCCACATATTCCCAGCTGCAATCTGATGGACCTGGACTTCAGATTCCCCAGGCTCTGCCTTGCTGTAGCTCCAAGATATTGATGCTGTTCCATCTTGCACAGAGACCGCCATGGATGCACTCACACAAAGGAGTGACCCTGCAAAGAGGCAGCCAGATGGAGGCCATTAGCACACCCAGCAGGAAGACCCCAGATGCAACCAGACCTGCACAGATCCAGGCCCTGGTTGGTGTCCCCAGGCTAAGGCAGCCACACCCAGAGATGGCAACAACAAACCTTCAGGCCTCTTAGCCCTGGATTTCCAGGCCCTGGCCAGTGTCTCACATGGCAGCAGCTGCATGTGACCAAACCTGTGGGTACCCTGAAAATGGATTTCTAGGCAGCAACAGGCAGCAGGCACTCCTCAGGCAGTCTGTGGGCAGTCTGAAGGCAAACAGTGGGTATTCAGTGGATGGATGTCAGGCAGAGGGTGATGGGCAGGCTAAAGGCAGGCAAACAGGCAGCCAGTGGGCAGTTGGCAGTGTCAGGAAGATATCTGCATGCAAAAGGCTGGTGATATACTGGCAAAGGGCTAATGTTCACAGTAGACAAACAGAGGTCAAAGAGCAGGGGAGTGGGCAGAGAGAGCTCTTGCAGAGAACCAGTATTTCCTCTGCCTGAATCCCATGTCACAGAGCAACAAGGAATGCATCCTCCCTCTAGTATGCTATCTTAGATCTCCTTGTTTGGTTTTTGATAATAACCATAGTATCTATGGTGAAATGGGATCTCACTACAGTTTTGATTTGCATTGCTCTGATGTCTAAAGTTATTGAGCATTCATATATTTATTGACCATTTGTATATCTTTTGAGACATGTATATTATGTCATTTTTGTTTGTATTACTTTTCGTTGATTTGAGTTTTTCATGTATTCTGGATTTTAATATTCCATCAGATGCTGACAAAGATTTTTTCCCATTTTGGAGATTGTATCTTAACTCTGTTTAATGTTTCATTTGCTGTCAGAAGCTTTTTACTTGATGTAATCCCATGTGTTAATTCTTGTTTTTATTTTCTGAGCTACTAGAGTTCCATCCAGGAAACCATTGCTTCTGCCAATGGCTTGAAATGTTTCTCCTGTTTTCTTCTAGTAGTTTCAGAGTTATAGTTCTAACATTAGCTCTTTGATCTATTTTTAGTTGATTTTTTACAGGGTGAGAGATGAGGGTTAGTTCTAATCTTTCTACGTGTGAATATCCAGTTTTCCCAGCACCATTTGTTGAAGAGATGGTCCTTTCACAATGAGTGTTTTTGATAGCTTTGCCAAGAATTGGTTGACTAAAGATGTGTAGATTCATTTTTGTGTCCTCATTTTTTTCCTAGTTTATTTACATATCTACTTTTATGGCAATATGCTGTTTTGTTATTATGGCTCTGTAGTATGTCTTAAAATTAGGTATTGTGATGCCTCCAAATTGTTCTTTTTGATCAAGATCGATTTAGCTGTTCAGGGTTTTTGTGCTTCCATATAAATTTTAGGATTTTTTCTCTTGTTTTAAGAAAGAATATCATTGGTATTTGGTTGAGAATTACATTGAATCTGTAGGTTGCTTTGGGTAGTGTGGCAATTTAAACAATTATTCCTTTCAATCCATGAACATGGTAAGTCTTTCCACCTTCTACTGTTTTTCTCAGTTTTTTTTTTTTTTTTTTAGTGTTTGGTAATTTTCACTGTAGATAACTTCCATCTTTTAGTTTTATTCCTAGGTATTTTGTGTATACTTTTGTGGCTATTGTGAATTTCTTGATTTCTTTCTCAGCAACTTTATCATTGGGATACAGAAGAGCTACTGATTTTAGTATATTGCTTTTGTGTCCTGCAACTTTACTGAATTTGTCAATTCTAAAGGTCTTTTGGTAGAGTCTTTAGAACTTTCTCTGTATAGAATCATATCATCAACAGATAATTTAACATCCTCCTTTCCTATAAGTATGGCTTTTATTTTATTTCTCTTTCTTATGTGTGCTCTGATTGAAATTTTGAGCATTATATTGAATAAGAGTAGTGAGAGTGGACACTTGATCCTGATCTTGGAGGAAATACTGTCAGTTTTGTCTATGCAGTATGATGTTGGCTATGGTTTTGTCATAAAGAGTCTTTATTTTGTTGAGGTATGATTCTTCTATCCCCTGTTTATTCAGGACTTTCATCACAAAGGGATATTGAATTTGGTCAAAGACTTTTTGTGAAATTATCATGTATTTTTATCCCTGATTCTATTTTTGTGCTGTATTACATTTATTGATTTGCATATGTTGAACTATCCTTGCATCTCTGGAATGAAATCAACTTGATCATCATTTTGAAATGTGCTGTAAAATTTGGCTTGCAAGTATTTTATTTAGACTTTTTGCATATATATCCATCAGGGATATTGGTGTATAATTTTCTTTATTTGATGTGTCATTAGGTTTTGGTAGTAGGATAATATTGACTTCATTGAATGAGTGTAAAAGAGCCCACTCACTTTATAGTTTATGGAATCTTTTGAGGAGCATTGGGATTAGTTCTTCTTTAAAAGTCTGATGAAATTCAGCAGTGAATCCATCTGGGACTGGGCTTTTCTTTGTTGTGAGCCTTTTTATTACTGCTTCAATCTCATTACTGTATGTTGATTTATTTAGGTTTTTTATGTCCCCTTGGTTTGATTTTGGTAAATCTTATGTGTCTAGAAATTTGTCAGTTTCTTCTAGATTTACCAATTTGTTGGCAAGTAGTTTTTCAAAATATTCCCTAATGATCCTTTTTAAATTCAATGGTGCCTATTTTAATGTCTCCTTATTAATGTCTAACTTAATTTGGGCCTTTTCTTTTAATTAGTTTAGCTTAGGGTTTGTAAATTTTACTTATCTTTTCAAGAACCAACTTTGTTTATTCAATCCTTTGTATTGTTTTTAATCTTTATTGCATTGAGTTATGCGCTAATCTTATTATTTCTTTCCTTCTACTGGTTTGGGGCCTTGTTTGTTCTTGTTTTTCTAAGACCTTTAGATGCATTATTAGGTTATTTATCTGAGATCCCTCTATTATTTTAATGACAGCACTCCTTGCTATAAACTTCCCTTTCAGTGCTGCTTTTGTTATATTCCACAAGTTTCGGTATATGAGGTTGCAATTTTTATTTGATTCAAGATTTTAAAAATTTCCCTCTGATTTCTTCAATGACCCAGTTCACCTAATAGGATGTTGGTCAATCTCCATGTTTCTGTCTAATTTCTGCAATTTCTCTTGCTGTTGATTTCTGGTTTCATTCCATTATGGTAGATAAGGTGAAGAAATTATTTCTTTTTTTAAATTTGATAATACTTACTTTGTAGCTTTCATATTTCTTGTGTTTCTGTATTGAGATTTGCACATTTATTGAAATGGAAACTTCTCTCACTTTTATATGAGGCCTTCTGATGATACATATTAGGGTATTTGTTTTGTAATGTTGAATTTAATTCCATTAGACCTCATAGTTTAATCTCCCTGCAGCTTCTTTGCTGTGATTAGTGGGTTTTGACATAATGTATCAGAGCCTAAGGGACCTACTTTCTCTAATGGTCTTCCAAGAGTGGGGTCACTTTGGTAATTTAGATAGGTGTGGTATATGTAGATGGCAGATGATATGGAATTCACTTTCTGTGGTTACTCCTGCAATGGAAGGGGTTGCCCTGTCAGGTGGTGGGTATTGCCATGTGCACTGTCGATTATGGCTCTGTTACTTGAAAAGTATTTCTGATACAGGATGTTTCAACTGAGGTGAAGGGCCTGAAGATTACCTGTTCAGACAATGGTGCAGTTTCTGAAGTTTCATATGGAGAGGTAGGGACTGGGATCACAGCTCCTCCTCTGTGACACTCACATCCAATCTTGTTAGCAATGTGTGATATGACAGGTATGATGACAGCCAATGCTGAGGACCTCATAGACGAAGTGTCCACAGGAGTTGTTTTATTTCTATTGGTTATTTCTGTGATATGACTATCAAGGAATGGGATGTCATAAGCCCCTACCTGTGCCCCTTGAGGACTAGTCACCACCTGGAGACTTTTGTCTCCATTCTTTTAAGTTGAAGCATCCACCAAGGTTTAACCAGGATTTGGTTGTATCTGGAACAAGGTACAATTCCACTCAGGTAGACTTCAGTGTAGCTAAGTGTCAGATCACCCAATGTATATGAATTCCCAGGCTTGATCCCCATCTCCACTAAATAAGTAAATATATAACTATATAAACCATATAAAAATAAGATAACAACAATAGCAGCAATCATCATAACAGAAAAGAAAGAGGAAAATATATAATATGATAAAAAGATTCTTAAAAATTAAAATTAAAAAAGAAGATAATAAAGTGAAAAGGGAAGATAAAAAAATTAGAAAGAGTAGAATAAAATTTTTTAAAGGTCCAAAAATTTCTTCCCCTCTAAGATGCTCAAACAAAGGGAGGAGAGTGGATGATTACAACCTATGCCAATCAAAACTTTACTGTCTTCTTAGGCTTCGCACTCCATGTACTGAGTGAGGGGCTAGGGGTTTTTCTAACCCCAGTTCTTTCCATTGTGTTGCTTACCAGGTTATAGGCAGGTGTGATCTCTGGCTGACACTAGTTAGAATTCCTCTATTTCTTTGCATTCTGAAATATGCCAAGGTCAAATGCAAAGTCATCCAGGCAATCTGTAGCTTTTTGAACTGTGCACTCTGAAGGCAGGGCAAACACTCATTTGTTTTGTTCTCTAATGTTCAAGAAATAATTATGTGAACATTTAGTGTCTAACTAATTACTAAAACATATAATTCTGCCTTTATTTGGCATATGGAACATCTGGTCTTCAGGTTATATAAGATTATAATTTCAAACACACATCTTTCAAATTCTTAATGCTAAGTGAGTTTAACCTATCCCCAAAAAACCAAATGTCGAATGTTTTCTTTGATATAAGGATGCTGACTCATAGTGAGAAAATATTTTGAAAAACAAATGAATTCAGAAAGCATATTTGTTCATTATTCATCAAACAATGATAAATGTTCTATTTGTTTCCAGAAAACTCTATAATGAAATTGAGAACCAAATTATTTTCTGGATCTGTGAAATCTGATAGTTTGGATGGTATAGATAAGTCTTTGCTCACCCTCATTCTCAGAAATCCTATTGCTGTCTGGGTATCTTGTGGTGAACCATTTATACCTCCAAATGGTAAGTATTTTAATTTTCACTTTCTTTCATTTAACTATATGAAGGTGGAGAGAAGTAAATCTTATGTCAGAACAAGAAAATGAATTAAATGTGTATAATGTCAACATAATAACATCACATTTATGCAAAGAACAGGAGGTCCATCAATTAGTATGTGCACAAGGATAACTATACTTACATATTTGCACAATTACCAGCTTTTTCTTACTGGAATGGAGTATTCTGTGTGGAAAAAATGTCTAATTTAGTTGATAAAGAGATCCTTGGTCTATAAGACGGAGAATAATGGTATACATTAGAAAATAACAAATGAGTTTAATTCGCACTGAGGACGACCTGTCTGCACATTTTCATTTTTAAGAATTGCACCCTTTAGGCAGTAGGTGAATGTTTAAAAAATGAATGGTTCCAAGCCAGGCTTTCATCACCTCCAAATAGTTTGTGGAAGTGGAAAATGAAATATGGCTATTGCATATGGTAAATCTGTATAATAAAACAGCACTGTTCTTTTTTTCCATAAAGAAATGCCGTAAGCCCTGTCATCTTTCAAGTGAGGTTTCTTTTAATGACCCTTACCTTTTAATTACTTGTTTCTAATTGAATCTATTTATTGAAGCAGAAAGTTCTTTATAAATTATTAGTGTTCATGATAAATTACTGTTGATAAAAGAATGTAAGGTAAAATATCATGTATTTTTATTATTCTAGCATTGCAGAAAGCAGAAAAATTAGAGAAACAGAACTGGCTAAAAAAGGACAAAATTTTGGCTGATCTAGGTACCATGAAACACAAAATGAGGCAGTTAAAAGGTCAGTACGAACTAAACCAACATGATTGTGTTTAATTCTAAATGTAACCTCAATTTGCTGATAGTTATTTTCTACTATTAAATACCAAGAATTTAACATAAATATTGTGTTACACAGTCATTTGAGCAGAATCCAAAACCTAGTAATACATTTTTATATTGATTTTATATTTGTAAATTTTATGTTAACAGGAATACCATATAACGTATACATTCGTTTAAAAAATTAGGAGAGTATCTGTGCCAGATAATCACCCTTTTGGTTTTGAAATGATTCCTAAATTAACATTTTATGGGCTTTGGAATTAGCTTTTGTTTAAACAAAACCTTTCAGTGATTCCTTGGGTATTGTTTTATTTTTGTTGTTTTTAATAATCAGAATAAGGAAGTACTAAAATCTTCAATGGTCATTGTCAATATCACAAGGATTCCTTTTTATACAACATAAGACATGCTATTTATGGTCAAAGTGATCAGTTGGCATAATTTGTTATCTTCCATTCTTTTTTTTTTTTCATAGAATCTTGGGATCCTGGACTTATTCTATTTCTAGTACTTGAAATAGAAATGGTTTTTTGGAAAGAAACAATGTTCTGGAGACTTTAGATGAGGAAGGTAGAATTTATTTCAGGCTTCATAATAGCAGAATTTTAACTCAAGTATCTTGCTTCAATAAGTAGCACAAATTACAGCACAAGACAGATCTCTGATTTGAAATGGCTACTGTCCATTTCTTACCAAAGCCATATTGATTGGCTATAAGTGAAAAATTTCTGTTACTACTCACAACCTCTTCTGCTCCTACTTCTAGACATTTTAAAGTTCTATGGCCATGTCCAAAACAAAATCTATTACATCCCTCCTATATCAGTGCATCTTTTTTTCCTCTAGCAACACATCCTACTACCATCTACCCAGCTGCTATGTCACAGAAGCTGGGAAGTTATTCTTGGCATCTCCTTCTCCCTCATCTTTCCCAAGAAAATATTTAGCAAGTCTTCTTACTCTGAATCTGTTAAGTTGATCTCAAATGATTTTAACCCTTCTACAATTATTATCCAAGTTCAAGCATGTAATATCCAGTCCTTAGATTACTGAAACAGTTTTCAAACTGTTCTTCCTCCTTCTGATGACAGCAGTTACCTTTATATGAATAGTGATGATGTTCTAAAGATGAAGGAATCATGCATAAATGCAAAGGAGTCATGGTACTCCAGGTATAAAAACTTTCAAGGGTTCTATTATCTTTAGGATGTAGTTGAAGCTCCTTATATGGGTCTTTCTGATTTCATTTTCTGTGAGTTCCCCCTCTCTCTGCTCACCACACTCCAAACATCTCAAATTTGTTTTAGTGCCCCAGACAACACATGCTGTCTTCCTGAGATTTGATACCCTCAGTTCCCTCTGCCTTGGTATTTTCTTTCTTCTGTCCTCTTGGATTGCTCCTACTCATTCTCTATATATTTTAGATAACTCATTACTTCTTCCTGGAATCCTCCTCCAACATTCCAAACCTGGGATAATGTGGTTGATAACATACTGAATTTCTCCTCTGATAGTTCTCATCGCATTATTTTAATTACCTATTTATTTGACTATCTTCCTTCTATCAAATCATGAATTGTAGACCCATCTAATTTATTATTTGAATAACTGTGGAATGATTGGCTTAACCGTGGTGACTTGCTACCATAATTCCAGGGATTAAGAAGGCTGAGACAAGGTTGCAAGTTTGAGACCAGCCTCATCAAATATTTGACCCCCCCAGTAACTTAGCATGTCCTTATCTCAAAATAAAAAATATAAAAATAAAAAGGACTGGGGATGTAGCTCAGTGGAAAGCAGTCCTAGGTTCAAAATCCAGTACCAAAAATAAATAAATGAATGAATAAATAAAAGCAATTTCAACCATTTATTCTAGGCTCTAGGGAGTGATTCAAACTTTATTCTTAAATCAAGTTAAATCAATAGAAAGCAGCATACTGAAAAGTGCCCCTTGCAGAGCTGCCTGACTGAATTCTGATTTGATGCCACGTCTTTCGGTCTTTAGCTTTTATTACAATTAAATATCAAAAAGACATTTAAAGTAATTTTGGAGTCATCTACAATATTACTGTTGAAAACAGTCTTTATTTGGTCAGTTGATTTCCATTATGGAGTGATCCATTGATGTAGTTTCTCTTCTAATTTAATGCTAAGATAAATCTTGCATCTACTTACAAACTTGTATATTTTCCGCTATTAAATATGAACTCAAAACATGTTCATAAAATACTCTGAAGAAGACCCTTTTCTAACTGTTAAGATTATGAGGATTAAAAAAAAAACACAAATCTTATCTCTGGTAACTCTATTCCTATTAGATGGTGTGTCTTGAGGGTTGAGTTAAAGGGGAAGTATGATAAGTATGAATAGTTGCTGAATTGACTACTTTTTATTATTATTATAACTGATAGTAAATGCAACAAATACCATGTGCAAAAAAACTGTGATAAGTTGATTTTACATTGCATTTGTAAGCGTAATCATTGCCATTATCATTTATAGTATGAGTGATTACTTTATAGGGCTTTTATGATTAGAAAATGTCAAATATTTACTACATGGTTACAGCAAATAATCAATATTGGGATAAGGTTCCTGAGTAGACAGTCTATTTTTCCACTTGAGGTTTTAAAACTATTAAATGAAACTCAGAGATACAAATCAGGCCTAGGTATCACCTTTGTTATACATACAGACAGTGTTGGAGCATTTCTTTTGATGTGTGAACTGAAACCCCAAATCGGGTAGACTTGTCTTTTCCAGGCAAAAAATGGTACTGAACCAGGGGTGGACCTTCCAGTAAGGGAAGGGATGAGGGAACTGGCTTAAGCAGTTAGGCTTAGAGTATGACAGAACATCAAAGCACTTATGTTTTCAAGTTTCCAAGAGAAAAGAGGGGAAAAATGGTCAAGAATTGTCAACTTATTTTTACCAATTTCCAACCAGAGAAATCATCTGCATTATCAATGGTGTTCCATCCACTTGAAATGAAACTTTTAGAAGAGGGATAATAATTAGCTATTATCATAACTGACCCCTGATCTCATGTGAAATAAATAGGGTGTTTGGGAAATTTAAGAAGAAAATAAAAATAATTTATTCAATATATTTTTGCCTTTCTTTGATGTATGTTATTCTTACCTACATAAATAATAGTTTATTATAAAAACCTTTCCCCCAGTTAAAACCTTTTGAGGTGACATTATATCTCTTTATGAAAATTATAGTGCAAATGCATGCATTTTCTTAAGACCATTAGAAGCAAGTTGACAAATAATAAATAATGCATAATATTTTTTTCTGTTTCCTATGTTCAATCCCTGACTCCCAACAGTGTAATGATAAGCTATTGTTGAACTCCTGGTTTAAAAAATTGCAACATTTGAAATACATTTTAAATAATATATTTGTTGGAATATTATTCATAAAAATTAAATGTCATAAATTAATGTTATCTCAGTTCTATAAATAAAGTTGACTAAAAACTATAGTTAGTATAAATTTGTATTGAGGAACTACTCTGGTTCTTTTCAAAACACATTACCTAGTGCATTGTCACTGTAACTCATTGGCTAATTGATTCAATCATGCTTTCTTCACTTTCATAAATTACGTATGAATGCATATTAGACACATAGGATTCTGGTTTATTTGAAAAATCATTGCTGCTACTTATTTTTATTTCTGAATATAGTACCATAAACTTAAGCTGTATGTACCTATTCTTTATACTCTGCAAATGCAAATGATTTTTAAAGGATTTTGTCATAGTCTAAAAATCTGCCCATTAAGAGTAACTTGGGCATGATGCGATGGCATATGCCTGTAATCCCAGCAGCTCGAGAGGCTGAGGCAGGAGGATCGTAAGTTTAAAGCCAGCCTCAGCAACAGCAATGTGCTAAGCAACTCAGTGAGACCTTGTCTCTAAATAAAATACAAAATAGGGCTGGGGATGTGGCTTGGTGGTTGAATGCCTCTGAGTTCAATCCCTGGTACCCTCCTCCTGAAAAAATAATTTGGCAAAAAAAATTGAGATGCAGCTCCATCTTATTATCAACATAATTGTTGCTTTCTCAAAGAAGCCTTCTCTGATATCTCAGACTAGGTCAGCAGCTGCTGTTACATGCTTTCTTAGTCCCTGGTACAGCACTATTGTAATGGATTTTTGGTTTAATCATTTCCTTGGATCTGCCTTCCCTACCAAACTTGAGGAATGGGCTCACTCTCAAACCTGTCTGCATTTGCATCATATTGCACAATGCCTGAACCCTAGCTGGTGCTCAATGTAGACTTCTGGAAGGAGTGTACAAAATAAAACATTAACCCAGATCTGCCCACACCAGCCTGTGTGGGACCCAGGCTCACAGAAGGCCCAGGTCCACCCCTTTACCAGCGGGGCAGAGACCCACCAGAGCCCAGCCTCTGGCACATGACCGCCTCTTCTTACCAACAGACTATCATGGGAGCCCAGACCTGGCCTGGATCCACCCACACCAACTTGTGCAGGACCCAGGTCCAGGGTAGGTCCGAGTTTGCCTCCTCATACCTGGGAGCCTAAGCCTAACCCACTTTCATCTTGGGATACTGCAGTCATTGCCATAGCCTTCTCCAAGCAGTAGTCCATAACTTTTTGACAGAGACAGGACCTAGAAGCAGCTGCATCTCAGAGCAGGCATCCAAAAGAGAGTGTAAGGCCCACCCTTTCAGCCCCATCTCTGTAAGACATTGCTTCCATCTTGGGGCACCTTAACTATTATCTCAAGTTACCTTAGCTATTGCTGCCTTCACCTTTAGATGCAATAGCATACATTGAGGGACACGAGCAGGGTCTGGAAGCCTAGCATCAAGATGAGGTACAGACAATCTGCACAGGCACTATAAGAATATAAGGAAGAAACTGTAATATATCAGATCCATGCTGCAAGAAAGGAAGACACATAGACTACATGAAAAGAC